TAATATTGTTGTTGGTTGTTTCCAGCTCTAGTCGGTACCTCTTCTTCATTTCCATGTTGTAGGGGAGAAAGAGCATTGTTATCATTTCCAACGTTCATGTTCACTTGATATCTAGTAACTTCTCTTCAACGGTGTCAGAATGTTCGTTCTATATCCAGATCAAACGGTTCAAGTTCGCTGTCACTATAGGTCATAAACTAACAAAACTTGGAAAAATAAATATGTACATACAAAAATAAAAGAAACAAATTAGTAATTAAAAATAACTCCAATGTAAAACTGATTCTTCCCGGCTGTGGCGCCAAAAACTTGATGCTATAGCAAGTACGCAAGTATACGTATCGTTCAAGTAATAAAGTGGAAGCTATAAAAGCTTTGGATGTCGAAACCACATAGAGCAATATGTTACAAAAGAGTTTTTGTTGGAAAAAGAAAATATAAATAATGTGTATTTTAAGAATGTAACAGAAAGACAATAAGGTAATAAAATCAGAATGATAAATGTCGGGCAGTGCTACAACATTCGGGAGAGCAACAAATCAAAGATTCAACGGATGCAGGTGTTATTTGGTCGCTCCCACTATGGATATGCTTAAAATGGTGCATTCATGTGTCTAGCAATGATTAACAACATTCAATTAACAAGAATCAACCTTCATTAATTCAACTTAATCAAATAGTTAATAATGATGGATGATTGACAACATATATCTCTATATACTAAACTTCGCTTTTCACAAACACCAACGCTGCACAAATATATTATGATAAAAATCCACAACATTTATTTCTAAAAATTATAGAAATCACATACATATAGATAAATTTATTTCTAAAATCTTCCCATAAGTACGACATCACATAAAAACAATGTTTAAACATAAAACATAACAAGAGACATTTAATCAAACACTTTATGTTCGAAAACCAAATAACATCAACATAACATAACTATTCAACTAAATAATCATCACTTCCCTATCTCAAAAAAGTGATGAAAACAAAGTAGAACTCCACTTGGTCATCGTTGCTACACGGTAGTGCTCATCGACTGCTGCTGCACTTCCTAGCGAATGGTTTAGGTGGCCATGGTGATGGTAGGAGAGAAAATAAGGGGCGGCTAGGGTTTTTCAAGATGGGGAAAGTGTGTAAAAATATTATATTTATAACCCATTAAAATCAAACTTTCCACCAATAGGAAAATCCCCTTTTTAATGATATTTCCTTTTTAAATTTAAATTCAAGCCTTTAATCTTGTAGCTTTATCACTTCCTGAAATTTTTCTATCCACCTTGTGACTCAACAAAGATGCAAAATCGTCGTGGCATTCCAATCCAACATCAACATCAGCATACAAGAACGGCTACAACATTAACAACGTCACAACATCAGTTTTGCAATAAAAACATAAAAATTAGCCTAAGTATCAGTAATTCACTCACACTATGCAAATGATGTAAAATATGTTAAAACAAATCTAAATATTATCCTAGATATGCTAGAATGCAAACTTAACCAAAGTAAAAAGGATATAAAATATAACTCTTTTGGAGAGTTATCATTATTCCAATTGAAATTCGGAGTATGATTACTCTTAAGTAATTTTTGAAGGACTACTGAGAAATAGCCGTCTCTCGATTCCTTCCATTTGATCCAATACCCCTCCAAGCTCACCTTTGAAATTTGACAAGAAGAACCAGAAACAAGACCATTGATCTACTTCCAAATCGAAGAGCCTACGCCGTAAGGGGACATTCCACCTCCAGCCGTCAGTACCTTTAGATCCAAATTCTTCTATTTTTCCAATTTTATTACAAGACAAGGTGTAAATACGAGGAAACATACGAGACACTGGCATCTCACCAATCCAAGTATCTCCCCAAAATGAGATAGAACTACCGTTCCCGACTTGTAATGCAATATTACTGCAGAAAGTGGACCCAAACAAGTCCTCCACGAATACAGATTTCAAGATACTACGCTAGAACCAGGAGCAATTTCTTTGAGGGACAGTGTCAGGAAGAAGAGAGTCATCCCTAATCTTATATTTTCTAGTAATCACCCTCCTCCTCAAACTGTCTTCTTTCGAACCGAACCTCAAACCCATTTACTCAAAAAGTGCTCGATTAATAGAATCAAAATCTGAGATACCCAGACCACCGTCCTTAAACGACGTACATAATAATGACCATTTAACCCAATGTATTTTCCAAAGAAAACTAGATACAACGCTAACCATAAGATTGCAAATAGATGAAGGCAATCGAAACAAAGACAAGAAATATATGGGCAAATAGGAAAGGTTTTCTTTTTATTTTATATTATATTTGAGGTTTTTGATGGACATAGTCCTTAAAATCATCTCTTTGATGTATTAATGTTGTATCTTCTTTTGTTTTAATAAAATTCAGTATAATTTCAAGGTTTAAAAAAATCAAAGCTATTATAAAATTGAATTAGTCCATTAAAATTTTTAGATATGTGATTGAATGATTATATATATTTTTTATAAAGAAAATAAATAAAGGGAAAAGGACTAAAGGAGCAATTTAGTAAAAAAAGATAACAAAGTGAGGTTTGATGAGTAAAACTAATAAGATTTATTGCTTCACGCCTAGATAATTTTAGTTGAAAGAAATATAAAGAAAAAACATAAACAATTTAGTATTATTTTGGTTCATTTGTTCTAGAACCAATAGAAAGAGAGGTGAAGGAAAAATTTCTTCCAAAATTTCTTCTTCTTGGTCGAAAGAGAAGAGGGTGCAAGTGAGGGTTAAGATTATTCAGTGAACTTAAAAATTGATTTTGAAAAAAAATATAATTTTAGTTTAAATTCGCTAGTTTCATGAAAAAGGTTAATGATCCTTAGAAGAGAGAGTGAAAGAAAAATATTTAGGGTAAATTACACTTTTCCTTACTGAACATTCTCTCTCCTATTTTACTCACCGTACTTTTAGTTTTTCTATTTTACTCTCTAAACTTTACAATCGAATTCATTTTGCTCACTCGGCTATTTTCTCTCTAACAACTGATGATGTGGTATTTTTTTTATTATTTAATATAAAATAATTATAAAAAATAAAATAAAAACAAAAGGTGGTCAGATGCCACCGTCGATCATTGTCGACCGCCATAGATCATTTTTGTTTGGTCTCGAAATGAGATGGGTCACTTCGTATCGACGCCTTGAGTTCGAATCCGACCTTTATTTTGTCAAATTTTCTGCAAAGTCAACGAATTTGAGATTGAAAGTGAGGAAACCGAAACATTTTAGTCCAAATTCATAGATTTTGGGACATTTTCCGGTGAAACAACCACCAGATTTGGACTCAGGGGTTGAAAAGAGCTGACCCATGAAATTTGGGACCGAACGGCCACCATCTACGGTTGTCGGAATGAAAATTACCTAGTGGTCGGCGGAGAGAAAATGAAGAAGAGAAGGAAATAGGGTAAATTACACCATGAGTTACTGAACTTTACTCTCTTTTATTTTACTCACCAAAACAACTTAGGTTTAGAGTATATTTGAGTTTCTCAAAAAGAAATCGTTTTGATTACTGAGCCACGTCATAACACCGTTAAAAAGTTAACGGCATAGTGAGCAAAATGATTCAATCCATAAAGTTCAGTGAAGTAAAATAGAAAAGTTGAAAGTATGGTGAGCAAAATAGGAGAAAGAGTAAAGCTCAGGAAGAAACGGTGTAATTTACCCAAATATTTACGTTGATAAAGTTTCAAAAAGCAAATTGATAAGATGGAAATTTATAGTACTCAAATCATTAAGTAACGATGAAAAAGTGGTATTGAAGCAATGGTGATTAGCAAGAGAGTTGAAACTCGGTTTTTTTAAATGGTCGGAAGATGATCGAGAAAGGGTGGAAGGGTAATCGGAACCGATAGACTAGCAATGACCTAATGGGGTAGAGCTAATTAACGTAGGGAAGGGATTACGATTTTTAAGAGAGATGGAGAATGAATAACAGTCTTCTTTTTATAGGCTTAAAATACGCACATATTCGAAAGAAATCAGAAAAAATATCCCAACTAGTTACCTTAAATCTCGACACAAATCACAACCGAAATTGATTTCAAATTTTGATTAAATAAAAAGTAAAAATAATATTTAGAGATTTTGTCATTTTAATATGTGAAATTTAAACTAGACGGTCTTCAAAAAGATTAAACATAAACACGAACGTAGATTGAACCGGTCAAACGACGCATATGCATGTAAGCTTGGCGACAACCTAAATTAATATGGGAGATACTGCTATTGCATTACCCACAGAGGATTAAGCTCACAAACCCTCAAGCTCATGCACATCAGAAGTGGAACTCAAAGCACTTATTTCTGGGAGACCGGAACTTTCTCAAAGATCAAGAGGACAATAAGACTATCTCAAAATTAGATGAAATCGTGTTCTTGTAACCATTTTCTGAAAAACTGAGATTTTGATTTGTGGAAGCGAAGTTAAGTGTAGGTCAGTTCTTTTGGTTAATATTTAAGTTAATATTGGTTGCAGTATCATTAGAGATTGTTGATTGAAACAAATGAGAGATTGTTGATTGAAATAAATGAGTTACCGTGACCATAAACAGTTTACTCTCTAAATTTAAGCGACTATAAAAATTCACTTTCTGATTTGAGACGAGAATTGCAATCAAGATAGAACAGTCTACCGGTGTCAATGTATTCTGTGTGCATCAGTAGGTAAGGCCTTAAAAATGATGGTTTTCCCTGGAAAAATACAACTCGCAAACAACTTCACTTTGGAAAACCAGGCTTCTGCTTTGATTGTCAATTGAAAACAACTAAAAACAATAAAATGAATCATCAAGTTCAAAGGTAGCAACAGCATATTGAAATCCATTTTTTAATCTATTATCCATCGTGATCTGAAAGTGAACAATGGCAACACGTTTCTCCACCTATGGTTTTAGACACTTTTTATTGAGCCTCCCAACAGCAAAATATTTAAGCAATAGGGTAAAACCGAACTTCATCCAAAAACAGAACCGCAGAGAGACCCAAAGTCATTAGTCTTGGTGTGGTGGTAGGAGCTGTAGAATGTAATCCTTGTCCTGGCTGAATCTTCTTTGAAAACCAAGCTTGCAGCCTTGAATTCACCTTTCTCCCTAGACGTGAAGAGAACTTTGGCGGTTTGTTTGGCGGCGAATGCCTCCACCATCATTTCTCCATGGAAACCGTTCCTAGCATCTCCGATGACTAATGTCATCTTGTATGTTTTATTGGGGACTGTCATGAGAACCTGTGCAATGGCACTTTCTCTCCTTGCAACGAGCTCGACTGCATATCTTGCCGGAACATTGAAGTGCTTTGAATAAATGAACTTCAGTGCTTTAAATGATTCGATGATCCAGCCTGGAAGTGGAGATGTGAAATCCTCTTGTTTGGGAGGTAGCAAGACACCATTAGTCGAATTCACTAGGCGATGAGGACCCTCTTCAATGTTATAGTTTTACTATAGTGATCAATAATCACTGGAAAGAACAAACAAAGAAGCAAGATTACTAAACTTCATTCATTTTATTGATTGTACATCTCTCAATCATAGAGAGGTGCATTTATACAACCGATAAGAGCAACTCTAGAAGCTTTAACAGTTTTAACAGCTTACAACAAACTTAACCATCTCTAACGAACTAACCGTGAGAAGCCAGCTTACTCCAGGTCATACACACCAACATTCCCCTACTGCAAACACCACTTTGTTTAAAATACAAACTTTTGTTGCAAAGCCATGCACCAACATTCCCCCTACTACAAAACACCATTTTGTTGAAACACCAACTTCTATTCAGCACACGTGAAAGGGAGGTGCATGCAAAGCCATGCACTAACACTCCCCCTACTGCAAACTCCACCTTGCTTAAACCCTTATTTAACTTATTCCTCAACCCTCGAAATCAAAAGCTTGTCTGGAATTTGAAATACAAGCAACCATTGCCTATGTTTAAAAAACATAGGAGTAGATAATGGCTTTGTTAGGACATCAGCAACCTGCTGAAAGGCAGGAACCTCCTGAACAGAGAGTTTTCCAGCAGCCACCATTTCCCTAACAAACAACAGATCAAGCTCAACATGTTTGAACTTGGAATGCAAAATTAGATTCGCACAAACTGCGACAGCACTGGAATTATCACACCACAAGACAGATTTTCCATGAACAGTCACACATAGTTCATTTAAAAGTGATTCAAGCCATGCCCATCTCAGCAGCAGCACACGCAACACTCCGATATTCAGCTTCTATTAGAGCGAGCAACTACCTACTATTTACGAGAGCCCCATGAAACTAGATTCCCAGCAAAATAGATATAGTAACCCGAGGTCGAACGTCTGTCATCTGGATCCGATCCCCAGTTTGCATTAGTAAACCCTGTTAAGGATAAGTGAGACGATGCTGAAAATCGAAGACCAATATCGACAGTGGCCTGTAAGTATCTCAATATTCGCTTTACTGCCTGAAGATGGACATCACATGGAGATTGCATAAACTGACACACCCTATTCACTGTAAAATAAATGTCTAAACGTGTGATAACAACGTACTGCAAAGACCAACAATGTTTCTATACTAAGTAGCATCCTCAATTGGTGTCCCAGTGTCAACTTTCAACTTGCAACTAGTGGCCATAGGTGTGGGAAGTCCTTTGGCGTCTTCCAGACCACTCTTGCATAAGAGATCACATATATACTTTTGCTGAGTCAGGATAATCTCATTACCTGTTCGACACACCTCAATTCCCAAAAAACAATTAAACACCCAGATCCTTTAGGGAAAACTAACTATTAAGTTTGTTAATCATACTCTGAACTTTTTTTTCACAGCTTCCAGTCACAATGATATTGTCAACATACACGAGTAAATATATGATATTATCAGTAGTTTCCCTAAAAAAAAGCGAGGCATCTGATCTTGATAACACAAACCTCTGATCCACCAAATACTCCTTGAGTTTCTCAAACCATGCTCGAGGGGCTTGCTTCAATCCATAAATGGCTTTGTTAAGTTTACAGACCAAGCCTCCATCACCCTGCTCATAGCCTGGTGGTTGTGTCATGTACACTTCCTCAGCTAAGACTCCGTTCAGAAATGCGTTGTTGACATCAAGTTGCCTTAACGACCACCCCTTCAATAATGCAAGTGGCAGAACAGCACGCACAGTTGCTGGTTTGACCACAGGACTAAAGACTTCATGATAATCAATTCCTGGCTGCTGTAGAAACCCCTTGACTACAAGTCGAGCCTTGTGCCTTGCTATGGAACCATCAGCATTCCTATTGACTTTAAAGACCCACTTGCAACTTATTTCTTTTCTACCACTTGGGAGGTACAAGTGACCATGTGTTATTTTCATTAATGCATCATACTCGGCTTCAGCTGCATCTTTCCACTCCGAACTCTTCATGGATTCTCGAATCATCCTTGGTTCTTTATCTGAGCAAGCCACTTGAAATACTTTCGGTTTCCAAATCCCATTCTTGCTCCGAGTTACCATAGGATGAACGTTGCACTGTTCTACACCACACTATTCTTTAGCAAGCTGTGATTCTACACAGAACCCTAACTCATTTTCAACAGCATTACCACTTAAGTTAGTTGATGCATGTGGCTCATGCTCACCTGGAGCAGCTTCCTCAGCATATGTCACAGTAAGTGCTATTAAATCATTACTTACATATGCATTGTCCTCCACAGTGACAATTGCTTGTGATGAGCCAGGCAGACATGTGCCAGGATTCTGACCATAATCATGGACTGGATTTGATACTACTCTGACAGGTCTATTAGACTGATCTAACCCTCCAGTTGACTATACTATAGGTAAGACATAGACCGATGAATCAGTGTCACTATGACTTCGATCAACTATCTTTTTTCTATAATAAGGAAAAACTTCTTCACTGAACACAACATGTCGCGAAATAAAAATCCTCCCACTCTCATCAAACACTTGCACCCTTTGTATAAAGGACTATAACCAATAAATATACACTGTTTTGACCTGAAATCCAGCTTGTTCTTATTGAAAGGTCAAAAGAGAAAAAAGCACACCCAAAGACTTTGAGCATAGAATAATCAGGAATTTGATGGTAAAGAACCTCAGAAGGTGATTTGCCACTTAACACTTCAGTTGGCAATTGATATATCAATATGAGCTTTGCTTTGTAAGCATGTTGTACAAACATGAGACAACTTATTTTCACTAGAAACAATTTTACACACCTTCATTACAGCTCGAACACAACCATCGAAGAGTGACCCAGACGTTTGTGCCACAAGTCTAGTAAACTCGATGCTTTCGAGACATGATTCAACTACCAGCTTGAGTCCTTTGCAGTGTGTGGCAGCAACTGATATAATCCATCATGTGTGAGCCTCCCTTTCAATAGAATCTTCTGAGTCTGTGTATCCTTCACAAAGCATTCAAATGGGTAAAACTCTATAAACACCTTATTGTCATGAGTGAACTGTGACACAGATAACAAATTCTTCTTTATATTTGGCACATGAAGCATATTTTGTAATAGCAAGGGCTTTGAGTTACTCAATAGACAAGACTGTCCTATATGGGAGATCTTAACACCCTCTCCATTTCCCATAAGTAGTGTATTATTACCTGTGTACACAGTATCAGAGTTAAACACAGATAGATCATTGATGACATGATGTGCTGCTCCTGTATGTGGATACTAGACAATATCAGTAGCTTTGGTTGAGGCATTGACAGAAGGCACTGTGGAGACAAAGGTTGTTGGTGAGAAAGGCATTGAAGGACCAAAAGGGTTCTTCCCAACACTAGAACCAAACGATGAATCACCAGAAACTGCATTTATATGAAGCATTAACATCAGATATGGGACCTGAGGAGTGAACAAGTAACCACCCTGATAATAAGGTACTGAACCAAACGACTGCATACCAGGAAAAACTGAGTTAGCAACAAGATGATAGAAGAACACATGAGATTGAGCAAAACCAAGACTCATTGAGTGACCATATGTCTGTATGCTAACAGTAGCCTGCTACTTATACCCCAAGACACTACGAGACTACTTCAACCCATCATTAACTAACATATAAGAGTCATCCACCCCAGAGTACTCACGATCAAACCTGTGATAGCACCTTTGAACAACGTGGCCAAATTTTCCACAAAGCTGACACAGAGGTCTATTGGAATTATTGAAGCGAACATGACCTCTACCACGAAAGTTGTCACCTTATTCATTCCTTGCTGAGTTAGACTATGACTAAGATGAAGCATTGCTAGTAGTGAATCTCAACTCTTGACAATCTTTGTCACCAGAATGAGCTGCCATATTAACATAAGCACTTTCACACAAGAAAAGTTTATGTCGAGCTTCACAATCAAGGAACATTTTAGTTAGAACATCTAACGACAAAGAATAACGAGAAACTATAGCAATTATGGACTCAAATTCCATGGATAACCCAGCCAAAAAAACACTAACATGTTATTGTTCAATTACTAAACTTCCTACAGCATTCAACATGTCACAAATGGACTTGACCTTTGCCAGATATTCACTTACTGTCAAGCCAACCTTTCTTTACGAATGAAGAATATGTCTAAGGAAAGACACTTTTGCACTAGATCTCGCACCAAAAAGTCTTGAAATAGTACTCCAAATGGTGAGCATGGATGTCATACCAATGAGGTGAGGAAGACTTCTGTACTCACAGTGGTTAGGAGCCAAGATGGCAACAGTTTATCTTGATGCCTATAACCACAAAGGCAGATTCTCTTCCTCTTTCCCTGATTTATTCATAACATACTCACTAGGAGCAGAAGTATCATTAGACACATATTTCAACAATCCATATCCATCAATGATCAACATTACTTGATGTTTCCACAAAAGATAAGTGCTCTCAGAAAATTTCACAATGTCATGCTTAGAAATATGTTGAACTATCAAACTAACCGAAGAGAGGCCATAGAGGAAGTAACGAGCAAGTAAATCAACAAGAAGATAGAAAACCTACTTACCACCTATTTACAACACTTTAAGAACTGCACCTTCAGCAAACTACGCAACCAACAATTAAAGCTATTGAGAAAGAACAAGCTTCCATACATCGCGTAAAGGAAACCATAAGAAATATCAAGCAACGAATAGCAAGATACTCCATATCTTGGCGAATGATACCATGTTATAGTTTTACTATGGTGATCAATAATCACTGGAAAAATAAACTAAGAAGCAAGAAAGAAGTAAGAAGCAAGATTGCTAAACTTCATTCATTTCATTGATAGTACATCTCAATCATAGAGAGATGCATTTATATAATTGATAAGAGCAAATCTAGAAGCTTTAACAATTTTAACAGCTTACAAAAAACTTAACCAACTCTAACGAACTAACCGTGAGAAGCCAGCTAAGCAAATAGCTTACTCTAGGTCATATACACCAACATTCAAAACTATAGTTCTTTACCATATTATTTGTGCATTGTTCAATAAAGGTTTAAACACAAAAGCAAATAAAGATCTGAACCCTTGATCATAAAAAACGATCAGACTTTTCAAAAAAATTCTCCTTAAAACAAACTTAATCGACTGCAGTATATTGTCAATTAACATAAGTAATAAGAAGTACATTTAATCAACTTATCAAACTATTCTTTTTAATCTCTCATATTTTCTAGGGTTTCTCTTTCTTATTAAAAAAAGGGTTTCTCCTTAATCTCCAAACAAGTAATCTCTTCCTCCGTTGCCAAAGAAAAAAAACCCCTTTTGTGTTG